GGAAGCGCAGTCTATAATGTTAAGTACTGCTTTATATTTTTTACCTCTATAGTAATCATGAGTGAGAAATAGTATATAGCACTGGTGTACACAATTGGGGCGTGTTATTCGCCTATAGCTGACTCTAGGGATATATTTTGGAGAGGTTTTATTAGTTTGGTATGACTCTTGATTTTCTAAAAAATCTTTGCATTCACTTAGGCGGAATCGGTGCCCCTCTTTTTTACACGCATTTCTTAGGGATTTAGGGTTAGGAAAATATCCAATAGGCCGATAATATATATCACGTAATATGATATTTTTTTCGATTCTTTTAGCCTCACCAGGGTCTATCAAAATTTGTGGTTGGCTCATTCCGATTCTCTTTTATAATCACAAAAAAGAATGGCATTTCAGAGGCCTCATCCAAGGCAGAGAAGAACATGTGAAGAACATAAAGCTGAGCTGGAGGAGAATTATAATCTTCGTAATGAATTGCAGACAGAGGTGGATCTTAATCGCAGAATGAAAGACGAATTAATCAGCTGGAGCGAGATTATTTCCAGTGTGAGCAAGAAATCCAGACCCTTAATTAGGAAATAGAACGTCTTGAGAATGCTTCGAAAGAAGAGATAGTAGAGTTGAAGTCTGAAATCTCCAGCCTAAAAAGTCGGCTATATCAAGCTAAGAAGGATATATGAGATAAGGAAAACTATATCTCTGTTTTAGAAAAGCGCTTAGAAGAATCTGAAGAGCAAGTTGAGAAATTGCGATGCCGGATCAAGACCATCTCATCACGAAAAAATACGCCAGAATGAGGGAATTCTCCAGACTTGTATAATCCTAATAATAACTTTGAAATGGCTACCATCACAGAGCTAGCAAATGCTATAGATGGTTATTTGAATAATACAACAACAGGTAGAGAAATCTTAGCTGATCAAATAAAAAGGGCGACGAGGCAGATTCGACGAAAGGAGACTAATCTTCAGCAAGATTTAGTTCGAGAGCAACGAAGGCGTTATGATGCAGAAGCTGAGCGTGACAATGAAATTATACGAAGGCAACTTGCTGAAGGGGTGGAACAAAGGGTTATTGGTGATCTTCAGCAGTTGCGAACTAATGGCCGAAACCAGGTTAATAGAATGTTAGATCGGATAACAAGAAAGCAAAATCGTATAGGTGAGCTGGTACAAGAAAAATTTGCCTTACAATTGCTGTATCAGCGAAATGCCCATCACCTGCAACGAAGTAGAGGGAATATAGGTTTATTAGAATATAATCGAGACAGGCTCTATGAGCGATATGAGAAATGGAAAAATAAGACTCGAGGAGAACGCCAGAATATTTTAAATTTGCAGGGACAAATATTTGCATTACAAAACAATCTTCCGCATATAGGAATGGCAGGGTATGCACCCAAAAGATTCTCAGGTAGAGCAGATGAAGATATAGATGAATTCATAAAAGATTACAGACTCTATCTTACGGCGGCCAACATCACTACTGCTAATGCAGGTGGTAAACAGAGAGCTTTAGAACTATTTCGGTCATGCATGACAGATGAGGCATCACGCTGGGTCGAAGATAAACTCATAGGTAAAAAATGGCGATTAAATCATGTAAGATGTGGAAATGCTTTAGCAAATATGGCCGCCGTAGTGGTCTTGAATAATGCTAACATAACGGCCACCATGATCAATGCACCAGATGGTACTCCAGTACCAGCATTACCGGGTGGAGCTACTGACGCTACAGTTATTCCAACACATAATGTTCATACGGATGAGGATTGGTCTCTTGCTGGAGGGTGTCTTGTAGACGCTGGTACGGCAACTAATGCACCGAATGGAGCTTTAAATAATAATAACCATATAGTTCTTCCTGATATCAATATTAGTCAGGTCATCTATTGGTTTAAAAGGAATTATCCTACAGTTGTTTGAGAGCAACAGGAATTGATCTTTGGTACTTTGACTCAAGGATCTGATTCAGTTAGAAATTACTATAGAAAGATAAATAAATATGCTAACTGGGCTCGAATATCTGATCGTGAAAAAAGAATACAATTTATACGTGGTTTGTCTCCTGAAAACAAGTTGGAAATGAAACGACTGGGTTTAAACAGACCTTTAAATGATGAATTGATTGAAACATTAGAAGAGATTGAAACGGAAAGGAATAATTTGCTTTTGGGTGAAGATATTTATAACCAGCCGGCTACTAAGACAAAACCAAAAGCGTCTTCTCACCAGGGTATTACTACAGAAGATGTTGATAGAATTGTAAATAGCAGGATTCAGGCGTTACAACAATCAGCGCCAAATCTATCACCGGTATCTTCTTCTGGCCAGAAAAATATCACTAAGGCTGATTTACAAGAAGCCATAGCTAAATCCTTTCAAGAGACTATGTCTCGAGCAACTAAGACTCTAGGTAATAGTAAAAAATCAGCTAATAAGAGAGCAGAAAACCTTATGATTAGACGTTTTTTAAGTGATCTAATGAGAGAGAAAGGTAATGTAGCTCCTGGTGATGATTATAATTATGACCCTGTGGATGATATTACTGATGGTATGGCCGGCATGACACTAAATAAGGCCACAATAAATGCTATCAAATCTGCTGTTAGACATGCTGTTAAGAAATGTACCAAGTGTGGTAGATTTGGACACACTTCCCATAAGTGCTCTGTAAAGAAGAAAAAGAAAAGCAAGAAGTCGAAGAAAGGTAAGGTTAATCTCACTATAGAACCAGATTCAGATTCTTCTTCAGACAATACTTCATCTAGCGATAGTTCTGATTCTGATACAAGTTCCTCCGATTCTTCCGACTCTGATGGCGATCTTAATGTTCATATAGCAAAGTCAAAAAAAAAGTGAAGAAGAGGAGTGAATCCAAGAAATCGTCCTCTAAAGAGACGTCTAAAATACCACTAGAGGAAACTATTCGTAAAGTCCTTCATAGTGAGCTTAAACTAATTTTTCCTCCACATTTTTTCCAAGATTCCAGTCTCATTGTATCTGAAACGATAGTATCTCAAAATGACAGTTCATCATCTTCCAATGATTTAATTTCAGATGAGTCTAGTCAAGAGGAGGAGTCTTTAGATGACCCTATGGAGATTGATTTCGTTCAGAAGAAGGACCCGAAAACTAGTGTTGTGACTGTAAAGTGTAAAATCAGGCGCTTAAAGATTCCAGCTATGACTCTTGACTCCGGAGCTGAGCCTCCAATTATAACGAAAAACATTGTTGATCGTACTAAGGACAAAATTGATAAATCTGAAAAACATGACCTTAGCAGTGTAGCTACTGTCCCGATTGAATCTATTGGTGTTGTTCGCAACCTGCCTATTACTTTAGCTCCTGAATGCACCATTCATGAAGATTTTGTGGTTGTAGACTATCACAAGCCGACGCTAATATTCTCTAACCAACTCTTAAAGAAATATGGATGTGCAGTAGACTGAAATACAAATGAGCTAAAGATTCCTCTTAATGGGAAGGACTATATTATCCCGGTCACTATGCATAAGGTCAAGAACAAGCTTGAGGTGAATTGTGCGACCACTACTTCCGAATGTGATGGTTCCTCGACTCCGGACAAAGTTTCTCAAGACTTGCAAGACTTAGGCGAGGATGGTTCATTAAAAAAAAAGTGAGTTATGAGGAGCTTGAAAAAATGCTATATGATACTCTCATCTCCAAAGCTAGATTAATTGAGATTAATAAAAATCTGCGATCCTTTTCTTCTTGCTAACTACATCCCAGCTTAGCGGATGGTCTCAGTGAGCCTCCTACAAAGCATTTTTTGTCTGAATATAATGAAAGGGTGGGTTGGAAGCTAGGAGCTTTTCTGATTCGCGTATAGCTTCCTCCGATTCTATACGATCTTTTTCAATTGAAGCAAATATGTTATGCGAGATGTCTATGGTGGAGTTTTGATAAAGACCCTGGCCGAAATCTCAGGTAAGTCAGAACTTCGAATGGATTTGGGCTGGTCCTGGAGTGACCGCTTCGGTAGTTTCTTTTTCTTTTTTTGCTTTTCTTGCGCATTTATCTCAATAGACTCATGAAATGGATCAGTCCTAGCCGAAGGCGCTAAAGCAAAGGGACCATCTAAAGATCCTGAAATTGGATGATTATTTTCTTGGGGAATGTTCTCTGAAGGAGGGACTGATGAGATGGATTGTACCTTCTTAAGCTCCTCGAAAAAGTGGTTTCCATTTTGCTGAAAACGCTCACAATCGTTCCATATATCATGAACACGATTTTTATTAATATGGTACTCCTTTACTATCATATATGCCGGAACTTTATTTTTAAGATGTCTAATTTCTTCGATCTGCTCAGAAGTCAAGACTGTGGCACTTCATCGATAATGAGTTTTCAAAATCGAGGTAGACATACTCCTCCGATATTTTTTAGACAATGTATTAGAAGCATAAAAAATATTAGGCATTAATATTTGTCGTTTTAGAAAGATAATAAATATTAGAATTCATTATTTATTGTTTTAGGGTGAGAGAGAACGATAAAATATATAATTTATTGTTTTAGTTAGATAAAATACATTCTAATTCACTATCTGTAATTAATGATAAAAAATGATCGATATCCTTCCTATCCATTCTATATTTATCGTAAATGTTCTCTAACAAAAAATATGAAAAGTTTTTTTTACAGTTTATGGCCAATGTAAATAAATGGGAATGTATGATCTTGAAAAGGAGATATACCGCATCTTGCAAGACTCATCCAAAATTCGAGGTTATAATGCTAGGTTGCGGAATGAATATATAAATCTCAATGATGAGAATAAGCGGTTGAAGGTTGAAAACTCCAAACTTGTCTCCCAGAATGCTTGTACAGAAATATCTCTTGCCAAAGCCGAAGCCGATAACTTTGCAAAATCAGAGGAAGTGAAATCGCTTCAGTGTGTGATTAATCTATTGACCCCAGGACACTCCGATAAGAATAATCGGTCGGACTCGCATGTAAAAGGTGGGCTGATAGGCGCTTCGCATAACGAAAAAAATGATATTAGCGCTTCTTCAGTTATAGGCACCCCAGATAATCCTATACAAGGAGAGAGCGCCAAGCCGAAAGAGATTAGTGATTCAAATAGCGTGAATTCGAAATCTAAGCTCCTAGAACCAATTCTACCTGTCAATTTGGCAAACGAAGTTCCAATAGGTGACGCAGAAGGAACGGTGAAACTATTGGGTTCCCCTATCGTTACGGACGAATTATTGCCATCTATATTTACCTATTCAATAATATTTCTTCTATTTTTCATAATTATATTGATCATTGTTATGGCAAAACTATTGAATACATGGAAAAAAACTGAGCGATATCTTACCCACAAAAAAAATAACCTACAAAAATATAGAAATAGGCCAGAGCGTTGATGTATTTATTATCTCAATACCTAATCGACTACCGTATAAGTACTGGCGCTAATGGGACTTCTCTGAATCTTTTTTGGATATGGGTTAATACCGTTTCTGATAAATCTCTTTCGGCTTGGCGCTCGGGCGGATTTATCAAGACTTTTTTAGCTTGGGCCATCGTACATGCAAATAACCATCCAATATGAATCCGGTCACCTCCCTTACCATTATGCCCATGATGTTGTAAAAATTGATAGTCACCCATTACGATATCTGCCATTCCTTCCTGATCTGATATTATCTTACTAAATAGCCACCTATCCTCTTCTGTGATCGGGAGACGAATTTCATTTGATTCGAAGCCTATGTATTGGGAAACTTGGTCACGTAGTTCAGCCATTATACCAATAAAGCTTATGTTTAAAAATGCTGTTAATATTGGATATTGCTAACGATATTTCCAGGCAGATTTCCGGGACCGCGCAGTCTCAGAAATTTTAGTCACATGATTTTGACACTTCCGAGGCTGGGCTGTATGATCGGAGGCCGGAAGTTCGAAGATAGAAATTGAAGTTAGCCGGTATTATTGCACGAGAAAAATATGCTACTATAAATATTATATGAGGTCTCTTAGTGAGGTGTGATAATTTCGGCTAAGAGTACTATCCATATAATCCATTTAAGTGCTTTGCTCTAGCGCCTCCAGCTCGATTACACCCTCAAGATAGAAATACTATAAATTACTAATGCCATCTAGCACCTCAATTTCTGATATGTGAGGTAAGGCGGGTAGGTCAGCAATTATCTCATTTTTTCGCATGGATGAAACTGGGCCGATTTCTTCTGGAATTGATACATGCTCTTTATAACGCATATGATAGACCAATTTGTGAAAGAATAAATTATATTCTTCCATACATTTTACAAGCTCGTTAGGATATCGAGCAAAATCAGAGCATATTTTTTCCTTCATTTCGTCATCTACCGAGAGGTTTTTATCTTTTGTAAGTTTTCTTGCGCATTTCATGAATCTCTCCCATAATATCTCTAGAGGATTACTTGCCATAAAAACCTCGTAGTTAAACCATTCACCATGGAATATTTCGTATAAACCGCCTATCTTTTGATATAATGTTTCTTGCGCTTTTTTGACCGCACTTCTGTAAGCACGCTTATAAGCAATCCCACGAGATTTCATCATCTCATAAGTAATGCCATTCACCACGATATTCTCTTTTACAAAGCCCTCAAGCCACGACTTAGCCTGTTTTTGAGCGTAATTATCAATCTGCATGTATTTTTCGTCTGGATCTTTGATTTGCATGATTCTGCTTGTAGAAATGGGCTCGTATTTCTTGTCGTACATGATAAATCGGGCACAGAGACCAATGATAGTTTTTTCGTAATAATGATATAAATCTAACTCCTTACCCAATTCCTTAGCTACGTCCACAAATTCCATTTTCTCGCCTTTAGTTGGATTTAACTTTCTGCCATGTAAATCAAAGGTCGTGTCTGGATGAGTTACTATATAACTAAAACGTTCACCTGGTATTGGAATCTTAGTATCGCATTTTCCTCTCATTCATCCTATAAAACGCTGAACAGCTTTGTTGTCTACATCAGGTTTCCATGCATCGGTCTCTATAAACTGCTCAAAATCCCATTGTTTGGGATTGGTTATGGCATCCCTGAGAACGTCCTCAACAATTTCATGGAGTAATCGGTCATTGTTAATATCCATAGCCCTCCACATAATCCTATCCCCTATGGTTTTGAAAACTTGGGATTTACCCTGTTTCACAGTATCGATTCCTCTTATAAAAAGCTCTTTCGGTTTGAAGTTTGGGGTATCTTCATGGGAGATGCCAAAATATTTTTTCTTTCCAGTAAACACTACCGGAAATAGTACTTCTTCATAAGCCATTTTGAGATAATCCGATCTGGTTTTTAACCTAAGAAAGTTGTTTACTTCATTGCGCAATTTATCCATTATCCCCATAGTAATTTTGACCATTTCGGTCCAATACTCTAGTTTTGAGATTATGCCTTTCCCAGCATCGTAAGTTAGATCGCATTTTTCATAATAGGAATCTGGGCAAGTGAGATATAGGGAATTAGTATCACCATATTTTATCCCAAAACCTTTCTTTTTCACGAATTCTGCAATGAGTTTGATATTTTCTCGCCCAGCCGAAGTAACACCCCCGGCGAGTTCAAGTTTGTAGAACGGGGAGTCACTTTGGCCTGTCACACCATAGAACGAATTCATATACAATTTAACGGCTTTCTGCTTCGAATTCAAAGAATTGTAATCGAAGCAGACGTAACTATATTCTTTTATAAAAGTAGAGTAATCTACATTAATAAAAGGATCCAATATTTTGGCCATTTCGGCACGCTTCGTATCTTTTGCTGAGAATAAAACGTCTTCGATTACGCCCGCCATTGAGAAAGATTCGCTAGTGTTGACCGAACCCATTCTACTTATAACCAACCCCATATACTCCTTTTTCTTTCCGATAGGTTTTAGGCGAGCCTTCATTTCATTTCGCATATTAAGCAACCTTTCCAATATTTTTGGAAATAGACCTTTCTCATCAGATTTATTTCCATGCCGTATAGTCCAAGCTCGCACAGGTTTGCGGTTATATTTAAACTCGATACTGTGGAGCATTCTATTCTCTCTCTTTAACTCATCTGCTTCTGAAAGTGTTGAGACCATCTTCTCAGGTGAGAGATTGTAAGTCATAATTATGCTAGGGTACAAGGAAGCGAAGTCTAAACCTGTGACAGGGCGCTTATTTTCAAGACCTTTCTCCGGCGGGAACACATACGCTCCTGGAAACTTCCCAGATGTTTTCTGGTCAGAAATTTTCATGCTGAATAGAATATCTTGGGCCCACGCTTCAGCGCTTAAGAGATTAGACACTTTTTTTCCTATGGCATAATAATGTGAGTCAAATAATGATATATAAACGATTGAAGCGACTTCCCCATAATCCTTTATGATATTCTCTTTCACCATGAGCTCCTGACAACGTAGAGCATCTATAACGCAATAATTTACGATTTCGTGCATATTTTTGACAGAAGAGTCAGAAGTCCCATCCCTTGCTTCCGAATAATACTTCCATAATTTGCTCATAGGCATATCAGCTTTACCATCGAGACCATATTTTTCTAAGAAGAATTTGAGTGATGTTTTCTCAGAGCGGG